CGCTGCCTGCTCCTCCACCCGGCTGCCCACGCGCCTGGAACCCTCCGAACTCCACTTTGAGCTGCCATGCCAAATCTGCTGGGGCCACGCAGTGCTGTGGTTTTTAAAGCCTTGCTCTCCCTGCTCAGGCAGGGTTGGCTTTGTGCAGGATTCCTGTCTGTCGCCGCGTTTTTCTTCCCTCTTCTTTGTGCATCCGTTTAGGTCTGGGCGCTTCGGAACAAGGACCTTTGTCTCCATTCTGTAGCAGCCTGTAACGTCTACTGTAATGTCACAGCCCCGCAGCTGTCAAGGTGATAAAACGGGAACAGGAGCGCTGCTGAGGAATTTTTGGAAGGCACAAGCAGTGTTTATAGTGGTCCGGTTTGAAAGCAGTATGTAGTTATGAATACCTTAAAGTCTCTTATTGCGTGACATTACAGTAGACCTTTTGGGAGTAACACTTTTCATAATCTTCCGAATTAGTTATGGATGCCTTGATTGGTTTGCTGGGTGACTAATGGCTATTTGTCATGGTCACGAGAGAACAGTGCACTTTCATTACAGTTACATCCTACACCAGTATTTTCTCCCAACTGCCTCCTGCATGACCAGCTGCTGCAACCAGAGGTGCAGATTCAGTGGCCGGAGCAGATTAAACTTCGCTCGACTGGACTTTGTGAAACTTGAGTGTGTCGTAAGGAAAATACGCAGTTTAGCTAAGAAAAAAAGGAGTATTTTCTCCAATGGAGAGAAGGTACTAGTCGGTTTGTATTTCAAACTTTGCAGTTGTGACCTGATTTCCTTCCTCAGACTTCTGCAAAGTAAGGGTGGGGGAATTGCTTTTGCCTGTGCAACTTGATGCCACTTCCCTGTTTTAAATGGCGATCTTAATGAGCACAGCCATGGGTTGGGGGAAGCAGCTGTTCTCCGTGATATTTTTACCATAATCCATGAGCTGTTTCCTGCAACCAATTGCCCTTTTCTGGCAGAGAAGCGATTGTAAGACAGTCAAATTATTTCATGAAACTACCACTTTTAGAAACAGTTGTCCTGTGCTGCTTATTTGTCCCTTCTGGATTTAATAACAGTTTTTTTGTGTCATCTGTCATTTTTTTTCTGATCGGAGATACATGAAAGCACTAAATTAATTCATTCGGTAAGGCCAGCTTACCACCTGTTGAAGGACCTGAATATTGAGTCCACGCCATCCAGCATATTAATAGTAATCCTCAAATTTACCTTTTTGGCTAACTTTTTATAAAATACAACTCTGAGTTTCAAAAGTTGTTACTGTGATGTGTTGCTCAACCAGAGTTGTAATGGATTTTGAGAAGGATTTAATTTCTTGAAGTCGTACTGAGTTAATTTTAAGCTGTGTATCAGCACTTGAGATTTATTTTAAATCCTTAACGAATTAAAAGATTAAATTTAAAAAATAAATAAATAAACCCCCAAACCTGGGAGTATTACAGTAGCATGAAAACGCTACCCACTTGGCAGTAAAGTTGCAAACCTCGTGGTGTTCTTGTGGCAGGGGCGTCTCTTTTAAAAGGAATTGAATTTCGAAGCATTTAATTTGGTGATTTTACAGGCTGGCTTTTTTTTTTTCCATACCCTACTGCAGGCTTCCTGGTCTTTACCTCTTGCCAAAGCCCCCCAAATATTATTTTTAAAGCTCTTCTTTGCACAGCTAATTGCACACAATGTCAGGAACAGGGCTCCCCTACTCCGGAGAGGGGGGAACACTGCTGGGAGGAGGAAGCCTGCGGTGTAGCCTGCATGAAGGGTATTTGCAAAACTGGCTTAGAGAGGTGGTAAAGTAACACATCGGAGTTAAAAACTGCTCATTTCTCACTCTGCCGAGTGGGTGGTTGAGGGGAAGGTGTGTGGGGTCAGGCCCTGGAGTGGTGACATGGGTTATTGTCCTTTGATATGACAGCCCCCCGATGCCCTTGGAAAGGTCACGCTGTCTAATAAAAGTGGTTTGGTTTGTTTTCTTTAAAGCAGAGCAGATGAAGCACATTTAGAAGTGTTGCCGAAGAGAGCTCTTGCTCTTTGTACGTGTTCACGAAAGCACCGTGGTTTCCTCTGCCGTGCGAAGATGGGTTTGTGTCTCTGACCACAAGTCAGTAGCTTCTCTGAAAGTGATTGGACTTCTGCTAGCCAAACTGCAGCTTTGAGCAGCATGGCAGCCTTTTGGCCAGCGAGCCCTTCTGTCCATTTCCATCCTTATTTCTTCTCATTTTGCTCTTTTGACACTGTTCTCTGTGGACCCTGGAGAGCAGCTGAGCTGGTCCTCTCGTGCAGTAGTGCTGTGCCCAGGGGTGGAAGCTGGTGCTGCTGGGCTGGGCATCTTCCCTGGCGCTGTCTTCCTCGGCCAGACCCTGGGGAGCTGTTGTGTTTGCAGGCAGTGTGACATCTCCTTCTCTTGTTTGTACTCTGCTTGCTTGGTTTAGTAAATTTTTGTGAATAAGTATGTTTGAGGTTGCTTAAAGTTATTGTATCTCCTGCACTGCTTCTAAATAACATCTCATTTTCCCCATCCTGACTCTGTCTGTTCCCTTGTTAGAAATGGTTTTCGTATGTCACTGTCCACATCCAGGCAGGAAAAGGATACACTTTACAGGTGATGCAGATAAGCATCTATTCACCTGTAGCATGGTGCAAAGATATTTCTGCTCAGTTTGGTTTAACGTCCCCTTAGTGCATCTGCACTTTCTTCTTGGTCCAGATGGCTCTGGCCTGAGAAATGTATGCTGTCCTTGTCCAAAACAGCTGCGCCTGTGCCTCCAGCTCGAATTCCTCAGATAGGACTGAGTTTTGTTCTAGCTCGGTGAGAAGACTGAGCTTTACTCTAGCTTGCCGCTTTGCCTGCCGAGGGAGGGGGACTCGCTCCCCCATCGGAGCTGGAAACCCATTGACACGCTGGTCCCTTCTGCTTTCAGGCATCGGGACCTCCCTCTTGCTGCGGGCTCACAGGGAGCTTCCATCATCTCATTTTCCTCGCTGCCCTCGGAGCTCTGCCATTTAGTGAGCTAATGGAAATACAAGATAGCTGGTTTAAAAAATGAGCTCCGTTTTAGGTGATCAAAAGCAGGCGGTGGGGTTGCCTGATCCCTGCGGTCAGCTGGCTGTCACAGGCAGTTGGCTGCTGCTGCTCCTGCTGTTCAGGTTCATCGTGATCAAAACTGAAAGGTGAAGTTTGTGGTTTAATTTGTTCAAATTGAATTATTTTTTTTTTTCCTCCCTGCAGTAATAAATTACTGTAAAAACTCTAAACTAAACTGACAAGCGCTCGTGCAGCCTGCAAATAATTACCATAGGCTCCTCTTAGAGGATTACTCTGAGCCCTGCCTAGGACCAAGAACAGGTAGTCACTGACGTCTCGCAGTATTAGTCGTATTTTTTTCTTTTCCTTTAGGTCTGTATTTGGCCTGTAATGTGACTTCTGAAATATGTTCATGTGCGTATGCTCTGCATGGTTCTTTCTTAATTAGATAAATTAAAATGGATGGACTATACATGTCAGTTGAGTGTATTAATTTTTTTAATCCTATTTCACACTATGGCATCCAAGAGGGATTACACAGACTTTAATTTTTAAATGTCTGGTTTATGGCTTTTCATCTGTAGCACTTTCACTTTTAATAATCATTTTGAAAGCTTTTGAATCACTGAGACAGTCTTTTTTTTTTTTTTTTTGGGAAACCTAAATTTGGCCATTTAGGAAACAGTCATCGTTTTGTTTCTGTAACTTAGTCTGTTTGGATCTGTATCTTGTTTTGTTACTAGCAGAGGTCTTCAGGTCAGTAGTCTTCAAAAGCCGGTATCCAGCATTATTCTGATCCTTTGTACATGAAACAGTGTTGAATAGGGACAGCCTTCCACGTGGAGATCGGTAGGAGGCATATATTAAGAGATGTAACCTCCGAGGTTGGAGAATGTTATCACCGAATGGCAGAAGTGAAATGCCAGCCATTTCTTCTGCGTGTTTAAGCATGAAAGAAGATGACCCCCATCCCAGACCTCTCCCTCCTGTCTCTCTTCTCCCATCGCTCGTGAAAAGACCATCGTGGCATTCCCTGGAAACAAAACCTCTCGGAGCGGGACCCAGGTTCTGGCCCTGGAAGTGCAGGAATCTCCTGCTCACCCTGCCGCTACTGCCCTGTGTCTTCAGTATTTTAAATATTGCTTCCCGTGTGTGCAGGACTTGCCCAAGAGAGAGAATGATGGTTAGTTAGAGTGATGTTTATTTCCCATCACACAAAGGAAGCTGGAGTATTGGATGCATCAGCAAAATCTAGACCCAGTTGGCAAAGTTGGTGTCTTTGCAACAGCTGCGTTGACATCACTAGATTTCCCTCAGTTCAAGTGGGAACATCTCATTAGCTTGTTTTCTTGGAAAGTTTATCTGTGTAGTGAGCTTGACTTTGGCAGCATGCTGGTGGCCTTGGTCCTCCGGCCATAGAGAGGCAGGTACGGATCGGGGGTGGGTGGCTGTGGCAGTCTGTGTCCGCAATATTTATTCCTGAAAACAGTATTTTACTCTGCACAACTATGTCCTAAAAGCTTGCCATCTAAATGAAATACTTGTATGATGAAAACAAGCAGACTTGGTAAATTCAATGATCAGCAACACCCTTCAATTAAAATTTTAGCTTGGTTATCTTTAGCTGTTGCTGGCCGCCGTTGCGAAGCACAGACGAAACCAGAGCTTCACTGGTCAGGCAGAGCCCTCTTCCCAAAACTTTGGGGATGGACAAAGGGACGATGTCACAGCAAATGCTGAGATACGGGCAGCAAAGCATCCCTGCATCCGAGGGAGAGCAGAGCGCTCCTGTGCTGAACCTCTGAACCCTTTTCTTGCACCATTAAGAGTTTCCAGGTAGTTGGTGCTGGAGAAGAGAATCGCTGAGATGGTTCAAACTTCATGAAATTGTGAATACCGAAAGAGTTAATGGAGAACTAAGAAACATCTTCCTCCACTCTGAGATGCACTCTGTGCTGTCTGTGTATTACAGCTCTCTTTCTTGTTTCCCCACTTCAGACAGGCAGAATTGACAAGTCCTACCCAACAGTGTGTGGCCACACAGGACCAGTGCTGGACATAGACTGGTGTCCTCATAATGACCAGGTCATCGCCAGTGGCTCTGAGGACTGCACTGTCATGGTAAGTGTATTTAATTTGTCTTGCGGGGTGGGGTTTCCTTCACGCTAAAAATGCTGCTGCAAACGATACTTGTATTTCTGAAGACATCTCCTGTTCCGACACCGAGGGCAGAGTCCTTGCTGTGGTGGGAGTGGTCATGGGCATTCTGCACATTTTGTCTCAGCTTAAGAAATGATGCTATTTTGGCTGCAGGACCTAGCTAAAAATTGTAGCAAATATAGCAGAGTGAGCTTTACTACCTGCATAACAGCAGAATTTGGACTTTCGCAATTGGTACTTTCTTCTCACGTTACTGTTTGAGAAGATGCAACCTCAGGCTTCTAAGAATCTCTTCAGCACTGAGATGGCACTTGGTGTAATGGACTTGGCCTGTGTCTTCCTGGCTTTGTCTTCAATTGCTCTGCCATTTTTTCCTTCCCCTGGGGATTTGTCTGATGTTCAGGAAGAGGAAAGAGAAGAAGGAGTGTCGGTGGTGAGGTGTTTTGATTTGTAGTGCTTTGCAGAAGACGGAGGTGGTTCCTTACCTCAAATGTCCCTACGGATGCAGTGGTGTGTTGTTGGGAAGAGGGGGGGATTGGAGAGGAACAAACCCATCAGGTTTCAGAATTGCTCCAGCTCCTGATTTAAGGATGATGCTTTAATTTTTTGCTATATCTACAGGTTGTGAGTAGATGTCAAAAGGGCTTTTTTAAATAAACAAATAAAGAACAATCCAAATTCTGCACCTGCCAGCCTTGGTCCTGAGACCTGTTTTACCTCAGTCAGAGCCCACTGAACAGTAGATGACCTTGGTCCGTGATGGATGTGGAATCCCGTGTATGCAAACACAGCAGAATAAGTGAAAGAAAATCCTTGTGAGATGAAATAATGCCAAATAACTTCAGTGATCTTTGGCCATATTTAGAAATGCTGTAGGCTGAATGTTATATTGAAATCTTATTATAGATCATGTCAGATAAATTCCTTTGCTTCTGTTCATCGTTAAAATGTTTGGGAGGGGATTCATCCCAAGAGGCTTATCCTGGGGCAGCTCTTGCCTGTGAGCTCTCAGTCTTGGAAGCTAAAGCATGTTAACAAAATGTGCTATATTTAATATTAAACAAAACAACAAGCTTCTGTGTTTGTAACGTTCACTACTGAGCTAGAAGGATGCAGGAATGTTTCTCCGGAAAACAGGATCCAGAAGGGCTGCGAGTCAGAAGGAGCAGTTTCTGAAACATGAAGCATCACCAGAAGCAGGCCAATCTAAGGTCCATAGCTGCCTCCTTGGAGGCGAAAATCAGTCTCTAATCCAAGTGCAATGAGAAGTATGTTGTGAGGCTCCAGAGGGATTGAATTATGTAGAAAAACCAACAGCGTTCGGTTACAAGTTGTCCAAACACTCCTAATGTAGATGCAAACCGTCTGTGAGAGAATCAAGTCTACAGCTGCGCGAACAAACTCTGTGGGACGTGGGTTCATGGTCGGGTGTCTGCTCTGTGGTTGCTGCTTATCCGCACGCGCTGAAGCAGGAGGTGAGCATCCCCTCCGTCCCCGGTGCCAGCATGCATGTGGACAGACGCTGAGGTGTAGCTGGCTGTGAGTTTGCACACTCGTGTTCATGTACGGTATCTGTTGGTGTGGCTGTGTCTTGAGTGGAAGGGAGCAAGCAGCTGGGAAGGTGAAATAAGGGAGTCCTTGCTGCGCTTGAAGGAAGAAGCATACGCAACTCAGGATTTGGACATTGTTAGGTGTGTGTTAGCTGGAGGTATGAAATGCAGCGAAGCTGAGTGTCAGCGGTACCAATGAAGGAAGAGAACTGAAGACTTAAGGTGAATCTCCTGTTAAGTATCGCAGAACTTCTGATGGGAAATGATGTGTCCCAAATCATTTGGGACAGTTGTTAACTGGGCTGGATGGAGCTAGAGTATGTAAAGAACAACCCTGGCCTGGACTGTTTGGAAACAAACTGGATGAGCTAATGAGCCTTCCCATTTTTAATTGCTTTTCTGTCCTGGCACGGATAATTTAGCATCCTGTTTTCTTTGCTTTTCTTCAACAAAGGTTTTGGAGTCCTGCTTCCTGAACAGCCTGTCACAGAATAAACTCATCTTACTTTAAAGGATATGTGGTTGTTCATCAGCTCTGAACTCTTCATTAGCCAACATGAAATGAGAAAAAGTGATGTGGTAGAGGAAATCATGCAGCTTTCTGCAGAAGTGCCAGCTGCTTTTAAAAGAATACCTTATGTTTTTAAAGACCATCTGTGCCTTGGCACTCAAGGATTTAGGATTTTACTCTCTGCCACAACAGATCTCATCAATGTCAGCTAGACATGTATTGAGGGGAGAGAGCAGGGCTTTCAGATGGTATCTAACCCATGTCTCCGAGATGAAGAGGGTTGATTGCCTGCAGCTGTAACTTTGAACTGTCTGCACCCTTGGTGTTGCACCAGGAAGGTTAACTGGGGCCTTTCAAAAGCTGGAAACATTTTCCTATAAATAAAACCTCAGATATCTTTGTAGAAGGTGGAAATACCTTCTGAGCTGCATATAAATGTTGAACAGGTACAGTGTTTGAGATCATTAGACTAGGGTTTGAAGTAAGGGACTGGGAAAGAAGACATCTTTTTCTGGTGCTTGGACAGCTTTCGAGGTTTAACTGTTTGCAGCTGCAACCAGATTTGTCTGATGAAAGGGACTTGATAGGTGTGATCTGACAGTTTCAGGTGATATGCTCATTACTTCTGCTGTCACATCTGATGCATTCAGAAATTATTTGGAGGCAGAGAAGAAAAAAAAATGGTGGGGGGCAATGCTTAGGGCAGCTCACCCTTGCAAGACCACCTTTGTGCAAGTCACGGTGCCAGCAGGTACAAGCACATCACTGTCTGATCCCAGCAGAGGAAAAAAGTAGGATGGACCTCTCCAAAACATCACCAGCTTTCTTCTCTGTGGTAGCGTAGGCTCGTGGAGGAGCAAATGCTCTTCCTTCGTCCCACGCTGGGTATTCCTTGGGGCATGCATTGGCCTCTGTCCCCTCCTGCCCTTACTAGTTGGAGTAGTTCGAGATAGAATGAAATACTTGTAGTCTGCAAGTGTTTAAGTATTTCCTCTTTATAGCTTGTTCTCAGTTCTCCAGAACGCGGCCCATTTCACATGTCCAATGTAACACAAGAGCCCTAATCAGACAAACGATGCAATGTAGGTAATGGCAGCAGCCTGTCTTGCCCCATTTGCTGTTTTCTTGTTGAATTTCTCTCTTCTTTTGCAGAAGAGCAGGACGGGGAGTTCCCATCTCCTCCGCTCCAAATTGCTCTCAGAAAGACTTCTTTTAAACCACTGGGACATGCAGATACCTTCTGTGGCCTCTTCTGGTGTTCTCTTTGAAGAATGTTTTCTTGTGCCAACAAATAAGGAATTACTTCAATATTCATGCTTGGTATTCTGCTGAATGACTGTAATGTACTGCAGGTTTTTTAGTTCAGCTGGAAAATGTTTGATTATATAAAGCCTTGTAGATGGTATCAGAGGGCCTTTCTCAGGTATGGAAAATTTGCTTCATCAGAAAGTGAATACTGATGAGTTTGGATGTAACGGCCAGAGTAGAGTTCATTTGGTTGAGCAAATTGTTTTAAAAATTTAACCAGAGCCCTTGCCATGACCTGGGACACAAACCTGTTAGCAGGCAGTTAAGAGGTAGTGGGAGGACAGGATGGACCAGGACCAGCTAACTGTGGAGAAGGTCTTACAGCTACAAAAATGGATGCACAAAGTGCCTTTTCCTGCAGCGATACGGGAGCAGAGACGTAGATAAAACCCGGGGCTCAAACTCATTTGTTTCCTCATGTAATGTGAATATAGGAATTGATGTTGTTCCTAGAAATTGGCTTAATCTTCTCTGCAGGTTGGTGTAGAGCCAGAAGAGACAGTTTCTGATTCTCTTTAAAGGGTATAAAAGAAGTGCTGAAGAAGTTTGCTTTAGTTTCTTTCTCATATGCTGTTTGTGCAAAACCTTTCCCTCCTGCTCTTCCTCTGAGACCCAAACCTCTACACACCTCCGTGGCGTGACTTCACTTCCTCGATCGCAAACAAACTAGCTGTGTTAACTTGAAAAAGAAAAAAAATAAAACCCAAAATAAAAAAACCCCCACCCACCCCAAACCCCCACAAGCGGGAGAGTTGACAAACTGTTACTGATGTCCTATTGATCTTGCAATATTTTAAAGTTTCCTTTGTGTACTCATCCTGAGTCCTCACCTTCAGCAGGCTGGGTCCTGCATCCAAAGGGAAAGTTCCTCCTTTTGCCCTGTGAATTGAATTTCATCCCACGCTGAAGACAGGGACCCCGCCCTGTGCAGGAATGAGTGGGCCAGGTCGCTTGGGAGCATACCCTGACCTTTCACACTCCTAGCTTTATTTTTTTGCAATACCAAGCAGGATTATTAGGTCAATAGTTTCTGTAATCTGCAGAGGATTACACTGGCCTACAGCTGCTGTACACTGTAGGGGCTTTCCCTTAAAGAAAAAAAAAAGTGTCTGTCCTCCAGAGGCTTTTAAAAACATCTTTTTCATTGGTATTTTGCCTCTAATACATCCCTTTCCTCTCCCACCCCCTGCACTCGCTGGCTCACGTTTAAACTTGGTCCTGGAGTTTTCTGGCACTCAAATTACCTTGCTGTGAAACTACACTTCCACAGAGGGGTCCCTGCATCGTTCCCGGCTGAGACAGCGCAAAACAGAAACGGGGATCTCGGGGACCCGGTCCCTTTGCTCCGGTTGCCCGCAGCTGCAGCCGTAGAAGCTGCTCTGGTTCCACTGCTGGCCCTGTGTGGCTTTTCTGCAGGTCACCCTTGGCCCGGAACCTTGTGTGTGCTGTTCCTGCATCTTTTTGTGAAGAAATTCAATTTTCAAAGCTTCCCCTACAAAGAGAGTGAGGCTGAGTGAGTTGGGGCAGGTCACTTCATCACTCTTGGGGGAAGAAATGGCTGTGTTCATCAGGGCTCACTGTTTTTAAAGGCTCCTCAAGACTCTGGAATAATGAGATGCCTGGCTCCCTGCTTAATCCTCCGTGTAACATCAGCCTGGCGTAGGTCAGTCTAGGCTGTCATGGCCTTTTCATCTGGTAGAGAAGTGGTTTTGGTGTTTTTTCCTGTTTCTCTTCCCCATGTCAGCTGTTGCCCCAGCATCTGCCTGCCAGGCAGAGCTGTCAGACCCGAGCTGCTCATGTCGAGCATCCTCTGCCCCCGCACCTAAAGCTCTGCTGGGCACCTCCCCTACCTCTGCTTCATAGCCCAAGGCTCTCCTGCCTTGCCTCTTCTCCTGGGGTCTCCCAGCTCTCGTGGGTTTTTTTTTCCAACTCACTGGTTTAGGTAATACCTGTTTTCTGCAGCGTTGCAGCACTGCTTACAATCACGATTTGGAGGTGGTTCACCTGAGACACCTGCATGCACTTACGAAGTTAAGTGCAGGTACCGGTTTTAGCAGATCTACGTTAAAGTCCCCCTGTCAGCAGACACATTTTAAACTGTTGCTGCTCTCAGGTTGTTTTTCCCTGCCTGGCAAGAAGAAAGCCACTTCTATAAAAATTGACGGCTTTGTAACCCAGTTTTATTGTGAAATGGGCAGGTGAAATGATTTGTTGCGGTTCGCAAGGCACGTTGTGTTTCTAGTGCAAGCCTCCAAGAGCGTGCTGTGGCTGCAGTCGCTAGCAAAGCCGAGGTGGAATTGGAAGCGAGCAGGACAACATCCTGCTTCTCCAGGCTCAACAGCTCCGGTTTGCAACCCAATTTTTAAAACATGATTGCTGGTAAAAGTCTCAGTTTATGTCATCTTGTTGCTAGCACTGTTCTATCAGGCAGGAAGAGAAAGAGGCATTTTCAACCCTTGAGGAGAAATTTTCTGCCGAGGTAGTGTGCCCGTCACAGGTTATTCCTCCTGGGATGCTGAAGGTGCTGGGAGGGACGACGTCGGTGAAAGGTGAAATCATTTTAGGGTTATTTAGAGGTGAGCTGGTACGTGCTGAGAATTTTTTCATCTCGGTGGATTCTATTTAAGCAGCAGCCATCCCTGCGAGAAGGGAGAAACTGGATTTAGTGCAAAAATCCATGTCACCCTCACGCGTGTCTGTCTGCTTCGCTTCCGAAATCCGCACGGCTCGCACCTGCTGGCTCTGACAGCTTGCTTGGGCATGGTGGGCAGGGTCTGGCAAGCCCTCTTCTCCAGCCCCAGAAAAAGCAAACAATAGGAGGCGAAGCAAATGTGCTCTGATGCTGCCACCTACCTATAGGCAGCTATAATTGCTCACTGATGGGCTATTTAATTTTTTAATACACTGTATATAGGTCAAATTCAGTTCAAAGATGATTGTCCAGTGCTGAATTGCAGGAATAGTTTTGGTAGGGCTAATCCTGCCTTGGGGCACGGGGTGATGGGTTTTGTCTCTTCCATCCCTGGTTCCTGCCAGTTGCAGAAGCTGCCTCCTTCAGTGAATAAACCCGCTCTGACTCCACAGCTGGAATTCCAGAGCTCTGCGATCCTTGGGGGTCTGTTCCTCCTCCTGATGGCATTTTCCCAAAGATGCTTGCAACAGAAGGGTTGTGTAACCAAGCAGGCAAGAAGTGAACAGGCAGTTCGAAGGTAGTTTCTGCAACGCTGACTTGGGCTACTTTAACCTTTGTCAGGACCAAAGTGCTCTTCCCCAGTTAAATGGCATCTGAAAGGAGGCTCTAAATATAACGTGAAAACTAATTGCCAGTATTTCTAAAGAAATAAAAAGTACGCACCAGTATAGCTGCAGTATCGTCCCTCCGAGGGACAAGCATAATTTGAAAAGGCAGCAGTTCGTTCAGATGGAATTTAAGCTGCAAGGCATATTTTTTTTCAAATCCTTCTCAGGCAGCATCAGAGATGAGTGGATCTCTGGAACACAGCGATAACGGGGCATTTGCAGCGTAAGGAGCCGGTGGTTATGTACTGGCAACGTGAGTGAGGAAGGACGCTAGGCACAGATCAGGCAAAGGTTTATGGGTGGCTGGTAACGATTCCCTCCCTGATTCTTTCTTCCTGTGTTTATACTGAGAAGTGACAACTCGGACTTCTGTGGTGGCGTGGCGCAGGATGCAGGAAGCAAACGAGTAACGGGCTGTTCAAAGGGGATGGCCCTTGGCTAACCGTCCTTCCTTCCCCCTTTCCAGGTGTGGCAGATTCCCGAGAACGGACTCACCCTGTCCCTGACGGAACCGGTGGTAGTGTTAGAAGGCCATTCCAAGAGAGTCGGCATTGTGGCTTGGCATCCGACGGCACGCAACGTGCTGCTCAGTGCAGGTATGGCGCGTCAGGGCTGTGGGATCAACAAGCATCTCTTCCTCACATTTTGCTTGCACACCAGGGATTTTGGAGAAAAGCTTGTTAACTCTTTTTCTTTCTTTCTTCTCCCAGCTGCTTGGGGCCGGGGAATCATGAGACTAATGGCAGTACCTGGGAACACTGGGACACGTGGCTCACAGCCCCCTCCTTATCTTGGCCTTTTATTATCTTCAGTTTACAGGGACAAGAACCAGAAAATTGTCTGAAGGCATGAATTACAGTATTAAAATTGTCCCAGATTTTATTTGATCTGCAAGTTTTGTCCACTCGTAGCTGTTTACATCTGGACTCTCCTCATCCCTGTTTTCATATACTTTTATAAAACGCCCAACTGTTTCTCCTTTTCACTGATCCCTGCAAGGTATCCCAGAGTCTGGCTGGCCCTTCCATAAGCTTTCCTTTTCAGCATTTTTCCAAATTGTCTCCTTGACTGGTACGGTCTGTGCAATGAGATTCTTTTGACTGCTGAAAAACAGTCACATCATTATAGAAATAAAATGGCTAAGTCATTATCCATTAGCGCGGTCTGAGGCTTTCATAGCATGACCTTTAGGTTGGAGCCCAATAAAAGAAGCCAGTTCTTTCAGATGAGCCACGTGTGTTTTCTGTTGATATGAATGCCTTCTGAGGTACTAGTTCGGTTTTGATCTGGTTTCCCCCAAAATGCTTGGAGATGCAGACCTTGTGGCAGTTAATGTAATGAAACTCAATGTGAGAACACACAAAAGGAGGAGGTGATTTTTTTTTTTTTAGGTAGCTTCCTCAGACTCCCATACTCACAAGCAGCAAGATGTGTGTGTCCAGGCAGTCCGGCCAGGATTACTCCTAAGAAACACAGAGGAGAAGGGATGCTGTCAGGTCATTGCAGTCTTCAGGGTTCCTCCTGGTGACAACAGACTTTTGTGCCCTTTGGGAGTTCAGAGCGATTGTTATCTTTTGCCTCGTTACATGTTTTCACCCATCGGGAGCGTTAGGAGAAATTGCTCAGTCACACATTTTGCTTTCCTTCCCTTACCTGGTCCTCCAGTCCCATTCTTTATTTTGCTGTCATCTTTTCTTGGGTTGTATTCTTTGCCTTTTTGCTGTCCAGTCTGTGAACAAAACCACCTACCTGATGGTTGTAGTCCTTGTGAAACTGCTGACCTCAACTTTTGCTGCCTGCCATTCTTTTTTCTCTTTGTTCTACTGTTTCTCCTGCTGTCGCTTGCCTGTTTTCCATCCATGCCGCTTTTACTCTTTCTGCTGCAAATCTCTCTGACCTGAGAAGGCAACGACTGGCTGCCAGCCAGTGTTCTCATGTATAGAGTTGTAAGAACATCACCTCTTTGCCCTTGGCATCTCTTGCTCTGTAGTCCTGCAGTTGAGCCAAGACCTGAGAGCTCCTGCACAAAGTTCCTGCAGTAGCAGTGGCCAGGAAACACTTTTACAGACCTCCTTCAGCTGCATCACTACCTCCTGCTTTTCCCCTCAGCTGCTTCTCTGCCGGGGACCTCTCCCGTCCCTTCTGCCCACCCAGTGTGTGCAGGCAGCACGTTGGCTGGGGTCATGGCCATCTGTGGGAGCAGTGCCCAAATAGTCCTGCATAAACTCTCTTTGTTTGGGACAGCTACAGCACCTCTGAGAAGGTGCTCGGCACTTTCAAGGGAGGAGTTTTGTGCCATCTCTGAGCTGGTATTTGAGTGAGGATGTGCTGCCTGCGGCTCTGCCTACATGATGGTGCACAGAGCATGGTTAAGAGATGGTATCTGAGGCGTTGGAGCTACAGCAGGTTTTATTCCTTGTTCCCTGCTGCTGGCTTTTTTTTCTGTATACACCAGTGTTGTGACTTTAGCTGTTATTTTCTATTTTAGGTTGTGATAATGCAATCATCATCTGGAACGTGGGAACAGGTGAAGCCCTCATAAACTTGGATGACATGCATGCGGATATGATTTACAATGTGAGCTGGAATCGCAATGGCAGCCTAATCTGTACAGCTTCCAAAGACAAAAAAGTTCGAATTATTGACCCCAGGAAACAAGAAATTGTTGCTGTAAGTTTGCATGATAATTAAAGAAGCAACTGGGTTTCATTCCAGAAGAGGGTTAGCAAGAGCATATAGAGAAAGAACCTTCGTGCTTAGTATATATACACTGTCTTTAGTCGTGTTTTTCAAAGTGAGGAAAAAATTACAGAAGGGATAGCAGTGGTTGAAGGATTTGTCCGGGTTTATTGGGATTAGTGTTTGAATCAGGATTTTAGGGCTCAGTCTTAAAACCCGCAGGAGTGTAATTCCACATCTAATCCTTTTGTATAATTACAGTTACAAAGTTATGTACGCAAAGCGGAGATTTAGCAGCCTGCATATGTATTGTAGCTTGCGAAGAAGTCTTCCTTCAACCTTGCAAGAGTCTGATAGGCAAAGTTGAAAGGAGCCAGGAATGACCACTTCTTTTGTGGTTTAGTAATTGGTTTCTTCCCTCAAGCATCAGGCAAAGATGGTTGGATGTTGCTCCATGTAGTCGGCATCCTGCATGGAGGAGCAGTGTGTCCTGCCAGCGACTCTGTGCAGCTAGAAGAGAAACTGTCACCAGGTGGGCTTTTCTGTTTGTTGCTAGAGGCTAACCTGTAAATCTCTTTCAGGAGAAAGAGAAAACCCACGAGGGAGCCCGGCCCATGCGAGCCATTTTCCTCGCCGATGGAAACATCTTCACGACTGGCTTCAGCCGCATGAGCGAACGGCAGCTTGCCCTCTGGAATCCAGTAGGTTCCTGTCCCGTTACTACTTTGCTATTGTAATGCCCGTTGAGTTACTAGCCCAGACCTGCAGTCACCTGCTAAATTCATAGTTCATACACGTTTGAAGCGCCTGAGAAGATGTACACAGAGAGCGTATGTACTGCATGGAGATCGCTTCATTCTATACATTATACGTGCGGAGCAAGACAGCAACAGTCCCATCACACTGGCACGAGATACTCACTAACCTGACTATGTCACGTCTTCCCCTTGACTTGCTGAATTTTCTTGGGTCCTGTTTTTATTGCGTTTTGTGATTAAAATGTCCTTGGGGGTTGAATAAGCTTGTGACCGTTTCCAGCATTTGTTATTCTAACACACAGATCCTTCAGGGTGCTTAAGGCACCGCTGCATATTCACAGGCTATGAAGAACTGTTAATAATTTAGATGCTATGTTAACATGAGCTTTTCCATTCTTCATTAACATCACCAGCATTTTTTATTTCCAGAAAAACATGGAGGAGCCAATAGCTCTTCATGAGATGGACACCAGCAATGGGGTCCTGCTGCCATTCTACGATCCAGATACCAACATTATTTACTTGTGTGGCAAGGTAAAGAGAAGCTTTTGGAATAACTGGGTGTGTTTAGAGGGAGACTCCTGTTAAATGAATGATGCCTGTGAAATGTTCCCCAAGTATCTTGATTGAGAAAGGTAGAACCAAAAAATTAGCACTGCAGCAATGGTCAGGGCTGCAGACAAATCAGGCTGCTGTGAAATCTGTTTGATCCTCATTCTGCAGGACCATACAGAGAGCCTGTGAGGGTCTGGTATGGAATTGGATGTTTCTTTGAGATGCATTTATGTAGGTAAAGCTGCTCTTAATGCAACAAATCAAATACCATCATCAAAACATCTCTTGTTGGTGTTGACCTGAATGATTGTACATTAGTGTGGGAGGAAGGTACACTTTAGATGTTATCCTACTTGAAGATGATGAAGCATGTAGCCACGCTGACTGTAATTTTGTGGGGTTAAATAATAGAAAACTGGAATCACGTGCTCCTTTCTAAAAGCAATTTGCAGGCATTAAGTGCTCTAAAGTGCCCATTTCTGATGCCACAGCTTTGGACTTCCTACAGATAGGAGCCAAAGACAAGATGAACAAGTAATTACAAAGGAGAATCCATACGAGAATGTTCAAGAATCTCATCTTTATAAACAGCTAATGAGAAATACTTGGTTTATATCTGCTACCTCTTCTGCTGTTTCAGAGATGCTAGTGTAGTAGAATTGCCTGGAATCAAAGAGAAACTGGTTTATAGCCTTTCTGTCTGACTGTGGCAGAAAGTTGAGCTTTTTCGCAAGAGGAGATGTGGAAGTTGACACCCCTGGTCTTGAAGCGCAAGCTCAGGTTCCTGTACCGCAATATTTTGAAGAGCAGCGCTTATTGCTGAGAAACCATTTGGCTAATATAGTTGGGTTACAGCTTTTGTGGTAGTTCTGCTGATGCCATGCGGGTAGTGAGAACAGAGCAGCGTGCTGTCTGATAGCAACTGCTGCAAGCAGCCTGAGGAGAGGCATATTCGACTGGTAAGCAATGGAAGTTTTAGCTTAGGGAAAAAAAAAAAAAGAGAGGTATAAACTGTGCATTGCTCTGTAGCAGTGTTCCTGGAAGAAAGGGCTATCGGGTGAGATCGATGGTTGCCTGACCTAGCAGGGAGCAGGTGTGTGGGCACTGGGAGCGCTGGCCCCTCCAGCCTCTGGAGTGATCCTCCTTTCATTTCTTGCAGGGTGACAGCAGCATTCGCTACTTTGAGATCACAGATGAATCCCCTTACGTTCACTACCTCAACACCTTCAGCAGCAAAGAGCCGCAGAGGGGCATGGGGTTCATGCCAAAGAGGGGCCTCGATGTGAACAAGTGTGAGATTGCCAGGTAAGGAGAGAGGCTTTCAGAGTGGGTGATGTTGGCTTAGCAAGCCACCCTGTCACAAATTCAGCCATTCAGAAATGGAAAGTCCTGCTCCTGCACCCAGACAGTGCAAGCCATGTTCCTACAGTGCACGTCAGCCAGCTTTCTGCAGGCAAAGGACAAGCGTGGCAGGAGGGGAAGGGGCTGAGAGCCCTCTGTAAAACCCTCGTATGTGCTCCCAGCTGGCAAACCATGCGCTGCTGGGTGTAGGATCCCACTGTTGGAAAGACCTCTCTGCCACACTGTTGCTTCTGCAGTGATTGTTGGGACCTGTGATGTGAAGCAATAGTTGTGCTGGGCATAACAGCATACAACCTCAAAATATCCTGGGACTTAGGCTGAGCCTGTTATAAATGAATGACTGATAATATCTAGCAGATCATCTGCAGAAAACTTAGCATCAGGTTGGTTGCAGCCTGCACTGTCAACATACTGATGATAAAATTTTGGTGCCTAAGTCTGATTAGGAACCTCCAGCTTGTACACAGCAAGCAGGGTTGGAACCTGGCTTTGGGAATTTAGAGGGTAATTAAAGCAGCAGTGCAGTGACCAGAGTGGAGCTGTGATTCAGAAAACATGGGAGAGGAAGAAAGCATCTCAGGAAAGCAGGTTTGTGTCACTGCAGTGGCTCCTGGCACACCGCTGGTAGGGAACATGCTGGATGTTGCCTCTGGAGCCTTTTGGTGCTCCTTTGATTATTAATGAAAGCAGGAGCCCCTGAAAGGGAGCAGAGCCTGCACTTGCCCAAAGCACATGAATATTTCAGCAGCAGGGCCTGGTGGCCAGGCTGAGGACGTTGGAGTTCGTGGCACTGGCCCAGAGCAGAACTGCAAGGGGTGACCGGAGTGTGGAGACACGTGTGAGTGGTGAGCAGAAGGGCTGGCAGGTGTGGACCTGTAAATCACTGGTGTGGTGCTTGTCTCGATGGTCCGAGCAGTGGGCTCCCTTGCACGCTGTTGTCCTCACGTCTAAGTCACACCTTTTCTTTTTCTTTGAAAGGTTCTTCAAGCTTCACGAGAGGAAATGTGAGCCCATCATCATGACGGTTCCTCGAAAGGTGAGCATTACCTCCTGGTTATTGGTTTGAAGCCAGCTCGTGCCTTCCAGCCCTTAAGCACTTTGACCAATTCATCTCTTCTGGCTTGCAGTCGGACCTCTTCCAGGATGACCTGTACCCTGATACAGCTGGGCCAGAAGCAGCTCTGGAAGCAGAGGAGTGGTTTGAGGGGAAGAATGCTGATCCCCTTCTCATTTCCTTGAAGCATGGGTACATTCCAGGCAAGAACAGGGATCTCAAGGTGGTCAAGAAGAACATACTGGACAACAAACCTGCCGCAAACAAGAAAAGTGATCTCATAAATGCTCCAAAGAAAGCAGCTGATGCCTCAAACACTGTGAGTAAAATTCACAAGCTTTTGGGGATGATGGCCAAGACATGATTACCAGGGTGCTGCATCTTCAGAAATAGTTATAACAAAGCTCAAGCACATAGGACTCAAGTACGCCAGGACTTGGATGTCGGTGGGTGACCTGGAGTTGAGGTGGTACTTGAGTTGTGGTGTTCCAGGCAAGGTTTCTGTAGCTGTGGAAGGTTACTGGGAATTGTGACACCAAGGAAAGCTTGGTCTGTTGTTCCAGCCACCCTCCTGCCTGGGAGAGCTTCTGTGCACCTCTTGTGTGTGTAAAACCCAGCACAGGCAGTGGGACACGGGAACCTCAGGCTGTGCAGGTCCAGAAGGAGGTTGTACAAGTCTGTAGTTGGGGGGCTGTAGCTAACACGGGGTATAGTAATACGCGGAGATGTGGAAGTGACAGCTGTCAGTCAAGTAGGTCCATAAAGGGTGTTAAAGAGCAGATGGTGATCCGGTATGTCCTTGAAGCTGGCATTGCTGCTGCTGGAAGTGCTGGTCTCTGCCCTGAGCATCGCAACTGCTGCATCCTCACCCCACTTGCCTGCGCTTACGGCTCATGAGAATCCCATTCGGAGGAGCCCCTTACTTTGAGTCCTGCCAGCTCTCTTTAACAAATCCATCTCTTGTCTTGTCTTCCAGCAAAACGAAGCCAAATTGGATGAGATTTTGAAAGAGCTGAAATCTATAAAAGACACGATCACCAACCAAGACGAGCGCATTTCCAAGCTGGAGCAGCAGATGGCAAAGATCGCGGACTGAGCGGGGCGAGCGGTGCTGGCCCCATCGCCAGCCCAGGCACATTCCAGTTCCCCAGTTCGGCAAGCAGCAGCCTGCAGCATTCCAGTACGAGCTTTCCTGTTCTAAATTCACGTCAACGAGAGCTGATGATTAAAAGCCAAGCTTTTTAGTGAAAGATTTTTTTTTTCCCTGATGTTTTAATGAATTTATGTGACTGTGTCAAGTCAAAAAGAATAAGTGCTACTTTTACAGTCTTTTTTTTTTTTTTCAGATGTTATGAATTCTTGAAAACAAATTCATTCTGACTTTCAATGTTGTGCCCAAATATCTTTTTCTAGATTTAGGGACCAATGCCACATTGTTCTTAACCATTTTCTAAAGTTGCCAAAAAAAAAAAAGTTGCTTTTTATTTTTTCTTATTTGCCACTTTGCAGTATTTGTGTTTTAAATTTTAAAGGGACAGCACTGCGTGTGTGTGTGTGTGTGTGCGCGTGGTGGGTACTTATACTGTGCAGAGAACAAAACTGAAGCTATTTTGTATAAATCTTCACTTTCGAACAATCAGATCGGTTCCCTTTGCAGTGTGGCCGAGGCTGCTGCTGAGACCCCGCGGAGATCGTACAAGCTGCCTTTCCTGCCTCCCTAACATGTCCCCATCACCATTGTCTGACAGTTTAAAGAAAAAAAAAAAACCGCAACGTAGTTCTGAATGAGGTGATTTGTCCCACAAAATCCCTCTTCTCCTCTTACACCCTTAAGAGCTTTTAAACTAGCATCATGTTGCCCTTTTAAAATAGTCCCATGTTTTGAATCCCTCTAGCCATGTCCAAACGGGCACGTTTTACTTGCTCCTTTATTATTTTTTTTTTTTGATCTTGAGGCAGAAGTTCCTTCCACACAGGAGCTGTTTTGACATTTATCCACGGAGTGCAGAGTTTCAGGTGTGCCACGGGAGAGGTGAGCCGTGGGACGTTGGCAGTCACCGGGTTCTCCGTGGTGTCCGTTTCAGCCCTATGCGTTGCTGTAAATCCTTGTTCCCGCGCTAGAGCTGCACCACCACGCTCTTCGGCTCGTTGACTTCAAGAAGCTTTTGAAATCTGTGAGCCTGCAATTCTCTGGCCCCTCACATTAGTGCTGGTGTTAGAAATTTAGACTCTGCTTCCAAAGCAGCAGTAGCTAGGGGACTTTATCATGGTGGGTCTCCGGAAACAAAATGCCTCCGTTATATTTTTATAATTTTTTTTTTCCCTCTCCATTCCTGCCTCACCACGCTGTAAAACTTTGCAGGAAATTATTTGTTCGCAGATCAGATGAGTGACCTCCAACCCCAGACCCCCTGCACTCCCAGGCCTTCCAAGTGGAGGAGACCGGGGAGGGTGGTTTTGATCCCAGTTTGGAGAGCTGGTTTCTCACACGGTCCTTTGAGATCCTCAGGGGGAAAGACCCCGTGAATGCCTTAGCTCAGCAAACCTCTGCTCAGGTGGGGTCTGTCTGTGTCAGGGACGGGGCAGGCACGGGTCCCTGCTCGCAGGCTGTGTCCCTGAGCTGTGAACAGGATCCGTGCCACCCCGGCAAGCTGTGCCAGGCTGGATTGGTGCTGCCTGTCCCGGCACAGCCCATCCCCGCAGTGCCGGGGAAGTGTCGGTAACGTGTGTTGAATCCAAAGGTAGGCAAAGACTATCGGGTGTCTGAGAGCTGTCGGCTGAGGAGCCTCGATGCCTGTCCCTGGTCCCAGGGATCGATCCCTGAAGCGGCTCACTGCATCCCCGATGTGCGTGCACGTTTGTGTGCTTGGGAGCAACCGCACCAGAGCAGCGTCCCCCTCCCCAGGGTGTCCCTGGCAGCTGCCACTCCGCGGGGGGACGAGTCCCTTCATCCAGGCTGAAGTGATTTTTTTTTTTTTAATTATTCCACCCCCCCCCTCCATTAGGTTAGTTAGAAATCCTCACATTCTCCATTTTTTTCCAGTGTTTGCATGTTCAGAACTTACAGATTAAGGATTCTCTGTTCTGGAGGGATGTCTGTGTGTGTGTGAAGGTGAAACCACACCGTCGGGACGGCCCAGGCGATGTAGTTGGGAGAGGCACGAGAACGGGACGCAAAGAGAGACAGAGGATGTGTTATAATTGCATAGCATGAAAGCTTCATAAAAGTGAGATTTCTTTGTTTTAAGTGGCGAGCACAGCAGGAGGGACGAGTGTCCCCTGCCCTGTGTCCACGACCGCTGATGCTGGATTCCCAGTCCAGACGCTCCGGGTTATTTGAATGTTTGGTGATGTTTTTGTATTGCAGTAAATGGCTGAGGTGATGTGTTGGGGTTTTTTTTTGTTGGGTTTTTTGTTTGTTTTTTTTTTTTTCTTTTGGAAAACAAAACCAAACGGTGATCTCTGTGTTGATTTGTATGTGTGACTTCAGGGTTTGTGTGCTTGGGGACCTTTTGTTTTTTCTAATTGGAGGGAAATAAGTTTTCTGAGACGCTGGATTGAAATGCCCAGAGGAGATCGGTGTGTGGTAAACGGTCCGAGGAGGGCGGAGGAAAGGCCGCCCTGGTTTTTAGTTTATAGCCTGTATTTTATTTAAATGAACTGATGCCTAGCCAGGCTCAACCGGAGTCAGTGCCTGAAGCTTTTTTTAGCCGTGATATCCCAGAAGAGAACCAGCGAAGTCCTGAAAGATGCGCTCTTATAGAGCGGCCATAGTATCTGTCCAAATATTTGCTTCCATTTTCAAAAGATAAAAGTCATTGATTATAAACTTCCTCTGGTTTGCTTTTTCTTTGACTCTCTGCGGCCTGCACCCACCGCTGCCCAGTACTACGTACACTTTAGGTTTTACCGTAACCAGGTTATTAAATGACAGCACTACCCCAAACCCCAGTGATAGAAACCCGAGCGTGTGGGGCTGTGGCTGAGGGGGGTCTGTCCTCTGGGACCCCTCCCCTCCCCTCTGCTCTGTCCCCAGAGGGCCAGGGCCTGTCCCTGGGGTCACACGTGGACTCGCTGGTGGCTTCCCTGCAAGTGAACCCAAGAGTTTGCCTGGATGCAGGACTCAATGGCACGGACTTGCTGGGAGGGGTCCCAGGGTAGCTGGGACCGGGGTGATGTGGTCTCTGGAAAGAACGGCACCGGCTGGGAACTGCCCTGGAGCTGAGCGGGGGCTCGTTCTGCTCTTCCCCAGCCGAAACCTGCTTCAAGGGTGCAGGAAAGCCTGCCACGGCAAAGAAAACCCCG